CGGCAGCCTGGAGCTTGCAGCCTCTCTGCATTTCTATTTCCATAAATTTACATCAAATTTGTGCTGAATCATGGCCCCCAGACCCCGCAGAATAGATGAAACACATCATCAATAAGTATAACATATTTGAGTGATCTGAGCGTCAAGTGACTTTGTTTGACTTTTCCGTTTAACTCCTTCTATGGCTGGGGCCCTCTCCATTTCCCACAGGACTTAGGGTTGAATTTTTCCTGACGCCCGAGGTTTTTGACTCTCCTCCTGAGGTTTTCTTTACTTTCTGGACTCTCATCAGACGCGTTGGCCCCGCCCTTTCCTGGGTCCCTCGCCCCCTCCAGCACTTTTCCCAGTTCTTCCCTTAGCGCCCTGGCATCTCAGCCCCCTTCTCTCAACCTCCCCCTTCCACCACCTCCTCCTCTCCCCGCCACTGCCTCCCGCAACGCCCAAGCCAATCAGCCCAGGCGTGCGACTGCTCCGGGTGACAATTGCGTCCCGGAGCCTGCCAGGCGGTCATCAGCTTCACTCAGTGGCTCGGAGCACCTCTGCGCGGTTCAGCGGGAAGTGGAACTTCCTTCCACCCCCCGTGGCCGGGCTGATTGGCAGCCAGCCGGGCTGGAGGCGGATCGTGAGCGTGCATGATTGCTGCTGGGCAGGGAGGGTTTAGAGGAGGTGGCAGGGACACCCCAGGAACTCCACCGGCTAACACACACAGCATGCTGAGAATGAGGAAGCGGCCTGAATTCCTCATCTACCCCTCTGCTGCCTGGCCCTTTGCAGGGAAATGATGAATGAGATCTCTCACGGAGTGTCCCTAAGCAGTGGAAGCGACAGAGCCTTGTTTTTCCACAGAACTGAGGCCAGTGGCCCAGGGGATCTCAGGTCTCAAGGCTCTTCAGGAAGCCCTTGCAAGGAACATAAAAGACCGATTAGGTCTCTGTCTCCAACTAAACTCATGAGCAGCCAGCCCATGGAGGCCCCTGGTAGGGCGGGTCAAAAGGAGCCTTTCTTTACCAACAAGAGATATGTGCAGTCTTTAAGTTATGTAGAGCCAATTAAACACATGGGCACGTGCATCCCTCTCCCGTCATAAGCCACAACCATTAAGAATCATTTTTCCCCCCTTAAATCAAATTTAAGCTTGATTTCTTAATTCAGGCAGGAGAAAGGCAGTGATAAGGGGGAAGAACTAGCCCTGACTAGTGCCTCGATAGCTCAGAAGGGGAGGGCCCCCAAATCTCTCTCCAGGTGATCAAATCTCCTTTCATTTAATGAGAACTCTGACATTTTTCGCATGGGTGGCCACAATCCAAACCGACAATACTGTGGAAGTATCAAAAACTCTGGGTGTTTTTCCCATGTGTCTGAAGCTGTTGGGATTGGGTGGGGTTGGTGGGGGTGGGGTGGGGGTGAGAACCAGCCCAGATGATCTTCTCAGCAGATAGCTCATTCTGACAGTCAACTGGAATGGTCTTTCATTCCCACTCTCCCCAGGATCTTTTGTTTGTTTGTTTGTTTGGTTTTGTTTTTGTTAGTATGTAGTGGTGTAATTCCTGAGATTGAACTATTCTGGAGTTTCCACATCTAAATCCTTCTCAGACTCTGACAAGTGAGAAACATCCTTCAAAGGCATCTAAGCACTCCTGCTACCTTAGGTGTATAAAAATAAATCCATAAAATTGGTCTTGGGGCTATGAATACTTACGAAGAAATTGGGTCTCGAGAGATACCCTTTAGAAAGCGAAGGGGATGCAAAACCAGAAGCTAAAGCCAGTGCTTCCCTATTTTGTGCCCGGGTGGCACATTGAACAGAAGGTCACCTGTTTTAAACTGGCACCCATGTACCAGCACTGGGTAGGACATTTAGTGGATTGCTTTTGTCCAAGGTGAGGACACTTGTAAGTAGTTTTATTTTTATTTTTTTTTCTTTGAAAACCGTTAACCACAATATAATTAGCTTTGTTTGCACCAGCCGGGGCAGCTGTTGATGAGGTGTCTAGAGGCCTTCTGGTATAGGTGCCTAAAAGCTTAAACTGGGTTTAATTATTATTATTACTCAATGTCAGGCTGCATAGATGAAAAGAGATAAAACGAATGGCTCGCAGCTCCACTGCCTTGCTGTGTGATTCTATCACATCTTACTGAAGCAGCCGGTGGGAGCAGGCACAGGACATCTCCAGGAGACCCCAAGCAGCTCAGGGTGGGGTTTTTCAACTTCGTGGAAGGTTTCTCAGCCTGCTGGGAAGGGGGCAAAGCCTGACACATTTTGATTTCCTCCCCAGTTTTTCCTTTAAATACTTTGATCGCTGCCTGTTATTGCAGGGAAAGAAAGCAAATCATAGGGCGTCGCCTTAAAAGTCCATGGTTTCCAAATGTAGGCATCTTGGCTCTTAGCAGTTCATTGATCACCCATCCTGCCGCCTAAAATATCAGGCATGGCTCCATGCAGCCGCGGAGCTGAACGACTCAGCTAAACCAGGTATCCAGAAGGGGCTTCCCCACCTGAAGGCCAGCAGGGAGCACGACAGATGGCCCAGATCTGCCCACCCTCCCTACAGTCTATTTCACCGACAGGTCAGAACAGAAGCAGATGGTTTGCCAGAGGGCAATATATTGGCAGACAGTACCTTGCTTTTCAGGTAAGAGACAGGCTGTTTGGAGTAAGTGCTTGGCACCGAGTTAATTAACCCTAGCGGTTCTATTGAGGGATGACCTCTTTCCACCTTCTCGGATTGCAAAGAGAATGAGCCTAGGTGAGGTAGAATGGAGAGAAGATTAGAAGGCTTAGCAGATTTTGTCCATTTCCTCTCCCTCCCCCTCTTTTCTTTTGTCCTGTTCTCTAGAGCGTTAGCTTGCAAACCACCAGGACAGAGATCGTGGGCTGCAGTGCTCTTCAGCCTTCTCAGGACAAGTTCAGGCACAAAACCAAAGAGCTCACAGGCAGGCTTCTTCTCATAGCCCCTTCCCCGTCAGTATATCGTAGAAGCTTTCGTGGATGAGAACTCAATAGGCTGTGAGGTCAGGCACAGATACTCCGGTAAGGGCTGATAGGGAGAGAACTGAGCCATCCAGGCTTTCTTCATCAATAGCACTACCGTCCTCCAGACCAGTCATCTGCTGCTCTATAGCAGATCAGCCCCAAACACACGGGAGGAAGCCCTGCTTGTTTACCGCACGAGTCTGTGGGTCATCAGCCTGGGCAAGGCTCAGAAGGTAGCCCTACTGCCATTTTAGTTGGGCTCACCCGTGCCCCTGTGTCAGATGGGGACCTCACACAGGCGCTGGTTGGTTGGTGGCTGGATGGTCCAGGGAGTCACGTGACGACCATTAAGTCGTTCTGGACTTGTTTTCATGGAGGCACTCACAGGTTCCCAGGAGTACTAAACGAAACGAAGGCCCAACCCAAAGGTGCTTAGTGACTTGATTATTATAAAACAATGGCAAACGTGGCTTGGGCCAAGCCCGTCCGATGACTGAGCGCAGAATGAGAGATAATGGAAGAGACAGAAAGGCCACCATCTTGGAAACAATATACTATGTCAGGGGAAAAAAAGTCAAGAACCTAGCTTAGGGTCTCCCATTCTCAGGCATGATAGTTCATCTTTAGGTTTACCATACACTGGGAACAAAAGCCACTTACTGCTCCAGATGTGAGAACTCAGTTCTCTTCCTGATAAACGGGGTAACAGCACTGGAGTGAGCCACTAGCAATAGGAACGGACATGTAAATAAATACACTGTGAGGTTTCTGCAGTTGTCAGATGGATTTACAACTTCTCAGGCCTCCCACTCATTTGTACAAGCTGTGTTTCCCCAGTAAGGAGAGCTTTCTGTTGGCAAATACGAGGGGGTCACAGAGCATCCACCCGAGGTTCCCTGCTGTCTGCAGCTTACTTCTAGTCTTCCCTCTCATGAAAGTTTAATGGAATTATCTTTGTAAAAATGTTCTTATTTTTTGAGAATTTCATACAATATATTGAGATTAGATCTTTTCTCTTCCCCAAGTCCTTCAGACTCCTTCTATCCATGCCCCCCCAAACTTCGTGCTCTTTCCCTTAAAAACAAAACAAAACAACAACAACAAAAATAAACAAGCAAAAGCATTTTTAAAAAAATCATGGAGTTCTGTTTGCATTGGTCAGCTGCTCCTGAACGTGGGGCCTGCCCTGGAGTGTGGCTGAAATGTCACTCTGCTTAAGAAAACCGATTTTTCTTTTCCCAGTAGCTATCAATTGCAAACAGCTTCCTGGTTGGGGGGGGGGGTATGGGACTCTGTGGCCACTTTTCTTCCCAGTGCTCGCTTATCCGTCTCGAGCTTGTGCGGGTTTTGGGAGCTCATACCGACATCAGCCCTGCTGCTGCGCTTGCAAAATGCTGTTTAATTGAAGTCGTCCACCATCTCTGACTCTTAAAATCTTTCTGCCTCCTCTTCTACATAGAACCCTGGATGGCACAATCTTGAACACCTCTCTCGACTCCTGCCAAGTCCCACCATTGAACTTTTTTGGTCCTATTCAGAATTTGAAGTTTTGTTTTCCGATTTTTGCTTTGCGTCCTAAATATGACATCTGATACTTTTTTTTTTTTAAAAAAAGAGTAAATATTGGTCGCTTTAAAAAAAGTTATCTGTGTACAGTATGGAGGGACTCATGTGTTCAACAAAAATATGTAGAACACCTAATGCGTGCAGAAATTGTTTCAAACCATCCACGGAAAGGAAAGGCCCTTTCTTGAAGGCGCTTCGATTCCAATGGTGGAGGCCTGACCTGGCAGGGTATGGCTGGATGGGGGAGTTTGGCTTCTCAGGGTTGGGGTGACACCCAGCTGTTCGCCAACCTCCTTCCCTTCACTGCAGGCCTGGGAATGATGGGGTCTAGGATTGTGTGCGGGTTTACAGGCCAGCTCCCTTCCCTAAGAGACCGGGCTGGCGACCTGGGGTCCCCAAGGCGCCGCAGCGGACGCTGGTCCCGGACTGTAACAGGGCAGTGGTTGGGGCCCGGCTCCTCCTCCCCTTCCTCCGCGGAGGCTGACGTGGAGGCAGCCGCGCGGGCGGCGGCGGCGCGGAGGCTCGGTGGTGCCCAGCCCTCTCCCGGCTGCGCTGGTCGGGGTGGCGGCGGCAGCAGGAGCCGGAGAAGGAGAAGGGAGGCGTCTGTGCAGCCGGCCCGCACACGCAGGAGGGAACATGGACGGCGATCGGACCGAGAGCGACTGGCAGGGGCTGGTGAGCGAGGTGAGGCCGGGGTTCCGGGCCGGCCTCCGGAGCGGCTGCAGCGGGTCTGTAACCCCCGAGAAGCCGGGTACCAGGTGACCCCGCAGGACCTGCAGGTGCGCGGTCCATCCCGCACTTTCGGGCCTGCGGGGGCGCCGCGGTCTCCCGCGCCATCTGGTGCCAGGCTCTGGGGAGGGGCCTTTAACCCACCAGGGTTTGGCCTAGGATTGGAGAGAATAAGCAGCCCTGGGATCCGGGAGGGGAAAGACAAGCCCCACCTGCCAGCCTAGTCACCACTGTTTTGGAGGCAAGTGATTGGATGATTCTCGGTGCTGGAAAAGTGACGCCTGGGGGACAATCCGGGCCCTTGGGTAACAACTGGGCCAGGTGGTATGACTTGGAACAGTGGTTTGGGTGGATGAGTTTGGCGTCCTTGCAACGGCTGGTTCCTGCGTTCACTTCTCCATTCTCTCCGCTCCTGTTTCCTGCGCCTCCTGTGTGTGAAGTGGTTCATTCATTTCTCAAAGGAATGAGACAGGTGCAGAAGTGATTTGACCTGTGGAAATAGACAACACCACATCCTCCCTGGCGAGCGTGCCAGAAACATTGCCAGGAGTGAACTTTAACACTCTTGGTCTGTCTCCTCTTTAATCCACCCAGAGTTTGGCATCATTCCCCACCCCCCGTTTCCGCCCCCGCCCCCGTACCCCTGCCTCAGGCTGCTGGCTTCTCCAGGTGAGAGGGAGAGGGATAGTAATGTCTCTCTTTCCCAAGCAAGCTACCACTCACCACCACCACCTGTGTGGACGGGTCCTCCAGTTATCTAACCACTTAATGCCAAGTGTGTGTAGAGCTCCACCGTCTAGGGTCTGTGCTCTAGTTTTACTTTGTTTAGCCTTGGTCTACACTGGAACCTCCCGAAGGATGATACGTTATGTCTCAGTCCATCTCTGTCTCCTCCGTCTGTTAGGCTTTATATCAAGGGTAGATCCCCTGGGAATCTTGCCTCTGGGCCCGTCGAGAATCATCTATAGAATAAAGGAGTCTGGAAGGGGTACTCCATGGAAATCCAGTGCTGGGCTCTGACTGAGAAGGTACACTATTCCCCGTTCTAGTAGATGTTTGTTGAGAGTGCTTATTGGAGGTCAAGCACCCTCGCCAGCCATGGGATACACACCTGTGATCCTAGCACTTGGTAGAGGTAGAGGCAGCAGGATCAGGAGTTCAAGGCTCTACACAAGATTCTATCCCCCCCCCAATAAATAAACAACAAACAAGAAGTTAGATGCACTAGAATTCAGTGGTCACCCATTCAGAAGACTCCTCAGAAACTCCTTCCTGCCTTCAAAGAGCACATGAGGTTTATTGGTGTAGCTTGGGAAGAAAGCCACTCAATAAACAAAGGAAGTAATCAAGTGCTCAATCCCAGGTGTCCCCTAAGGGTGCCTCCCATTGGCAGGTGTATTGACCACATTGAATGGCCATGGTTTCCTAGCTGGACTGTGTTTTTCAATTGGTTTTCCAATGTCTGTCTTTTGAGCTCCATATACAGGTGGTTGATAAACACTCATTGAATAAGCCCGCAGATCATGAGCTAGGTATTTTAAAAGTTGCCTCATCCATCCCAAAATGAACTTCGTCTTGTTAATATTATAACATATAAGAATCACGCAATCGAGTTACACAAAAATTGTGGAAACTTTTCATGTTTTAAGTAAGTTCATAATTTTGTGGCTCCATTCATAGTCATCACGGGCCATATGCTGTAGAAGAGTGGAATTTGCTTTGCACAGATGTGTGTTACAGACCTAAAGGGTGAGCATGAGCAGAACTCGCCTTCTGCCCCAGGAGTAACGGATGTCTCTTGACTTTGCCTGGCATGTCAGTCATTGCGCAGGAAGCCATATTTCCCTTAGCTATCTGAGCCTCATTCCACAACAGCATATGTAGGAATCACTTCTTAAGCAGTATGGAAATCAGGGCTGAGGCCAGCCAAGGAACATGCGCTAAGTCTTACAGCTTGTAACTAGAGGGAATGTGATGTGAACCCTGGTACATCTTGCCCTGGGTCCTTGCTTGGCATTATGAAGCAGTGCTGTATATAATCTGTCTACATCTCTCATTAAATGATATGTCTCCTAAGACAGGAGCCATACCTAGTCCATCTTTGATAATAAATGCATCAGCTTTCTCAAAATAAGGCCTACAGATCAGAGCCCCTTTGGATGCTCATGAAAGTGCAAATTTCTGGGTCTCCAATCTACTTCAGTGGATGGAAGTACCACATTAGTGTAGTGCCTGAACAGCATAGATATATATGAGTTTTAACTCCCTGTAGTTGTTCTTATGTTTGGAATTTGGAATTAGGGTCTTTGGAGTCAGTCTTTCTTTGTATTGCCATCTCCCAAATAATGACAAGGAGATTTCTTATTAATTATGAATACTTGCCTAAGCCTAGGCTTATTCCCAAATAGCTCTTATAACTTAAATTAACCCATTTATACTAATCTACGTTCTGCCACGTGGCTCATTACCTCTTCTCCATGCCGTATATCTGATTCCTTCTCCATCTTGCTGGCAAAATTCTGCATGCCTTAGATTCTTCCTGTGTTCCTCTGTCTCCACGGAAGTCCTGCCTATTCTCTCCTGTCTAGCTATTGACTATTCAGCTCTTTATTAAATCAATCAGAAGACACCTTAGGCAGAGACACATCTTCACAGTGTACAAAAAGATTATTCCACAACAGGCCTTTGTAGATATTGTAAAGTTGAGATCCTTGCCATGAGATCATCTTACATTTAGGGTGAACACTTAATCCTATAATTAGTGTCTGTATTTTAGAAAGGAGTGAAAGAGGGGCTCTCAAGACACAGAGACATGGGGAAAAGGCTCTAGGAAGACAGACACAGAGAAAAAGCTTGTGACAACTGCCAGAGGATAGAGGGGTGCAGCCACAGCCAAGGAGTGCCCACTGGCATACTGACTCTGGATATCTGGCCTCCCTGACTGGGAGAGTAAGTTTTTGTTTTTTTTTCACATCCCATTTGGTGTCAGTTTGTTACACTGGACACAGGAGACAAATCCACCTGCTGCTTCTAAGTGCTGAGAGATGTGTGTTGAGAGATATGGCCCCAGGACTGCCTCTTTTGAAATCTCAGCTGCCCTGGAAACTGTCTGTCCACTTAAATAAGCTCCATCAGAGTTCCCTGTGCATGGATTGAGCCTGGTACCTAGTCAAGTAGAATTCAAGGAAATATGGCTGGTGGCATTACCAAGAGATTTACGGATCAGGGCCAAATGAACTTTATAAGGGAACACCATCTTTTTCTGCAGCAGTCCTAATGTCTGTCCCTCCTGGGTCCCTACATCATTCCCCTTTCTACCTAAGTCTCTATGGTGCTATTTATCCTAAAGACTTGAGAGCCAAATGCTGGAGTGAAAACCTGCTAGCTCAAAGAGGCAGAGAAAGCACCCAGCAGCTCCCTCCTTTGCTGTTGTCCCAGAAAGAGGGTTTTCTCCTATACTGTCTGTCTATACTGTCTATACTTCTCCAACTGGATGTACCTCCCTTCTACTTCCTGTGTGTCTCTCTATCCATTCTCCTGATTTCCTCCCACTCTCTATGGTTTTTCTTATCAACTGGTTGTTTGCTCTGCTCTTGACCTATGGTTGATTTTATTTAGTCCTGTTTACAACATTTAAGCAGAAAGCTTGAGAATTAAATGTATGTTTTAGGTCTCAGCCATACCATACCTAAAAGCAGGTTCCTCCAGTAAAGATGCAATCTTAGGGTTCACAGTGTGATCAAATATTTCAAAACACAGGACTGTTTTCCAGTTGTTTTCTTCCACTGGTTTGGATATGGTTTTCATTTAAAATGTGATTGCAGTGATCAGACTGAATTTCTTATTTTTAAAAGTGTGACCATTGGTGGCAGCCTTCTCTCAAGACCTGACTTAAACACTCTGTGTGTGGAAGAGGCATGATTGATGCTCAGAGCTGGACATTCAGTGCTTAGGGAGGTGCAGACATTGTGTCTTTCATTGCCATATGTGGGGCACTTTCCACCTTAGAGAAACCACAGACGCAGCCGTACATGCAGCCTGTGACTTGTATTCATTACTCTTCTGTATCTGTGACTAATGACTTGACAAAGATAACTTAGCGGAGGAAGGTTTATTCTGGGCTCATACTTTCAGAGGGCTCAGTCCATCATGCCAGTAAGACATGGTCAAACAGAGCAGTGTACAAACTGGTGGTTAAGAAACGGAGAGCTAGGAGAATTCAGGCCCCTTGCTGGCTTTGTCCTTCACTTCCCCTTCTATCAGCCCAGGCCCCTGGTGTGGGATGGCTCTGCCCAGATTCAGGGTGGGTCTTCTTTCATCTATTACTCCTCCCTGGAAATACCCAAGCAGATATGCCCACAGCAGAGCTTCTGCCTACCTTCTCAGTGACTCTAAAAACAGTCCATCTGACAATCATGTCTTAGCCTAATCACCGCTTGAAATTTGGTTGGTTAATTTGGGTGTGTGGTATACAATGACTGTGAGGCAGACAAAAGACAGTAGGTCTCTATCTCAGCCCAAGCCACTAGAGTTCAGGCCTGTGGCTGAAGACCCAACTCTTAGTTTTAGTGTTGACAGACTCTGAAGATATTAAGAAACTTAGGGACAAGCCTGCTCCAATTTTGGTGAACACAAAATTGGATCTACAGAACTTCTAAGAAAAATAGATGTATCTGTTAAAATCCTAGATACCTACTCTCTAAATGTGGTGTTTTAAATAAGATAGACATCAATGTGTCTTCCATGTTATAGGACTGCAGCACAAGTGGGTTTTACTTGGCTCTGTGAATCAATTCGAAACCCAGGCTCCTTCCATCTTGTTGCTCTATCATGATTTAAGGCTTGGTCATCAGCTGGGTAGTTGAACAAAGATGCTGCTAACTTTATATCCGAATCCATGGGAAGGGGAAAGAGGGAGAGGGCAGGGGCAGTTCAAACCATGGGCTTTTCTTTAC